ATAATTCTATAGAACCATGTTATATAATATATTATTGAGAAATGATTCTATAAGACTCTTTTTCATCCATGTGCGTAGGACCCCAAATGATCATCATTAAATTTGGCACGGATCTCTACAAAAGTCAAGTCTCATATCCATGTTATAACTTTTTTAGAGATCTTTTAATAGTGATCCTTTGAGATCTTACACACATGGATGGGGGAGGGTCCTATAGGATCATTACTCTATATTATTATATAATATATTATAAAAGAAAGATTATTACATATTATTTACTTGATATATATTATATATTATATAACAACTACATATATTATATATCATATAATATATGAGGTATCATACATTATATATTATATAGTATTCATTATATATGACATATTATATAATTTATATGGGTGTGGTCTGTATAAGGTGTGCACCAGTTAACTATGTCGAAAATGCAATTTTGGAATTGTAAAGTCTTGCGATAATATGAAAATTTATTGTTACCCTCAATTATGAAATTTAAAATTCCAAAAATGCTGACGATCAAGCAAATCTAGAATACTTGAAAACCTTGAAATGGACGATCCAGATAATGTGGTAGAAGATTAACTATTTTTAGAACTAAAAATCATCCCTTTTTTTTTCATATTTATGAATCGCAAGGTCGAGATGATCAATTTTACGGTTTTACAGCACAGGAAAAACCTTCCCAATGGATCGACTTAGGTGCATCATACTTTTTCTAATATACATTATCTTATATGAATAAAAAAGAAGATAAAAATTATAATATAATCTTATATTATATTATGTAATACAATGAAATGAAAAATTTCAAAAACAAATTAAAAATTTTATAAAAGAAAAAGTTATTATATTATATAACATACTCAAAAATTATATAATATATAATATATATTTTTGTTGAAGCATGTTATATATTCTATTATTATATAATATAGTATATATATTATATAATTTTGTTGAAGCGTGTTATATATTATATTATTATACAATATAGTATAAGTGAAAGATTATTACATATTTTTTCATTCTATATAGGGTGAAATTGGCATATGGATGCATCCATAGGTGTAGAAGTAAAGTTCATTTTCAAATTTTATCATGATATATAATTTTGATGTAAAATGTGCTTAGGATTATCTCAAAATCCATTTTTATATCCAATTATAAAA